AGGTATGATCATCTCATTTAAAGGTGAAGAAGTTAGAGACTCGCCCATGGGTCCATGGTTAGAAAGAAGCGGAGGCAGAGAAAAGAGACCCCATACTGAGGAACAGTGCTCTCCTGTACTAACATAGGAGGTAGCCCCTGTGTGGTGGGAGTATGGTGGGTTCTAGACTGCCCAGTTCAAAGCCCTTGTTTTTTGCCTTGTAGTGAGATCTCAGCTTTGTGAAACCTAAAGTTTGCATACTTTAAAAATAGGATAGTGTATGCATGAGAGCAGTGAATGCCCCATGTTTATGAGAAATCAGTGACATAGTGGATGTGACATGCTAATGTGGCACATTATGTCCAGGTGTCAAGTAAATACGTAAGATTATGAACGAGCTTGTGTGTGAAGGCTTGCGGTATGCACAGAGGAACAAATGGGCTGGTGCTTAGATGTCACCAATGACCCTGTTTCCCCAATCCAAATAACACTGTCACTCCCATTTTGAGCTGCATTTTGTGGTCCCAAATACATAAGAAGGGCAGTGATGGGGCTCCTGGGTGTCTCAGTTGGTTAAGTGTCCGACTCTTGATTTCGGCTCAGGTCGTGATCTCAGGGTCCTGGGATGAGCCCCGCATTGAGCTTCACGCTCAGCTGGGGATCTGTCTCTCCCTCTGCCCCTCGCAGACCCTCCTCCCACGCTCATGTGTGCATGCATGCACACTCTCTCTCTCACCCTCTTGCAAATAAATAAATAAATAAATAAATAAAAAAATCTGTAAAAAAAAAAAAAGAAGGGCAGTGACAAGGAGTTATGTTATTATATTGGCAACATCATGATTTGAGATTCTACCTAGAACCAATTATCCAGAACCAATCTAAACACCAGAGGTCCCTTCTTTAATAATACAATGTTGAGGGTTTGGCCATTATTTTGAAAGCACATTAAGCATATGTGGTCTCCCAACTTGCTCTTGGGCTTAGGGGCCAAATCAGCTGACACAAATGTATTGGGTACCAACCTAGTTTAAGTCATCATTTTCTACCCTCAAAAAACATGCATGCTAAAAATTTGGGAGAAAAGACAAATGTATGAAAAACTACATAATATTACATTTAAATAAAAATTCAGGAGAACAAAAGACTTGATAAAGGCCAGTGGTAGTAGGTTGTCAGGATTGTGATTTAGGCCGCTTGTAAGTTTGGAGGAAAGAAATGGGTACCAATTCTGGGGTCGGGCTATGTGCAGCATGGCCCAGGTCATTGACAATAACGGGCCAGTCTGTAAGACTTCCCTCCATGACCCCCATAATTTCTCATAGATGTGACTCTTTAAATGCTGTTTTTTAAATGCATCACTGTGGACTTAGCTTTGCTCAGACATATTTAAGTAACTGGTCAGTTACTGGTCAGTTGGGTGGCACTTGGGAAAAGGTCACTCTCTGTGCTGTTCTGAGGCTCGCTGAGGTCCTTGAGAAAGGAGCAGGACCTGCGCGGGGTACCTGCCCTGGTTTTTGTGAGCATTAAGTAAGTGGAATGTGGTGCCTCACAGATAGCAGGGACCCACGATAAGTGCTAGCTGAATGCTCGCTGGAGACAAGACACTAGCCTGTGAAAGACAATAATGTGAAATGTAAGGAACAGTCCACAAGAAGAACTCAGAGGTAAATTTCCAGCCTCCGTGCTTCCCCTGAGGCTGCTCAAGCCTGCAGAAGGGGTGGTGCTTTTGTGTTGGGGTGTAATTGTGGACACCTTACTGTGGTGTAGTTGCTCCTTAGTGGGCCCCAGGAACCCAGGAGCAAAAGACCAAAGAGTGGTTGCCTTCCCTCCCTGCTCTCACCAGGATAGGGCAATAGTGAACCCTGTGGACTCTCGAATCAAAAAGCCTGGGTGTGGATCTCCTTTATGTTCCTGTTCTCTCTGTTCTATTTTGTAAGTTACCGTCCTGTGCTTTGTTTTTCTCATCTAAACGGGCTGATAATGAGACCGATTTTAGAAGGCAATTATAAAGGTTAAAATGAGATGCTGAATGCAAAAAGTGCTCAATAATTGTTAGCCGTAACAGAAAAAATGTATTGGACTTATGCATGCCATGCTCGGTGCTAGGCTTTTCATTAGGGGCTGTGGGATTCAGATGATAACAGTAATGGTGATTATAGCTCACATTTGTCCAGTGCTTACTTTGTGCTGGCCTTTATACATATTATTAACCCCTTAAGTCCTTTAGCATTGAGCTAAGTAGTACATAGTCTCAGGAAGTCAAGACACGTGGTATCAAATAAGCTAGCTCTGTGACTTCACAGAAGGAAGTCAGGCTCACAAGTAGATAATTACAGCAAAGAATTCTACTTGCAGGTGTTTCTCAATGCATATTGGTTCCCATCCCATCTTTTTCCCTTTTCTTTGTATCCCCATTGCTTGGGATGTGGCCAATCAAGAGCATTATCTTTGGAAGCTGAAGATAGGTTGTTTCTGGTATGATCTCATGAGAAATTGTCCTGTTCTGTCCCAACACTCTTGCTGCCCTCATTTATCCTAAGCCCAAATCTACCTGGTCCAGATCTTTGATCTCACCAACCCATTGGCAGAGTAGTGGAGCCAAGGAATAGAAGTTTGCTGTCCTACCTGCACATCATCCATTGTGCTGTTTATTCAGTGTGTAACTCAGTTATTTATGAGGCCAGTGTTCTCTTTAGTAGAAGAGTTCCCATTTTGAAAAAGTAGTTCTTTTCTGTCCCCTAACCTTCGCAAACACCCTTTTCCTGCATTGCCACTCGGGTGACTAGTCCCCATCATGGATGACTTAGGCTGGCATTCAGGAAACACTTCCTTTTTGTTCTAGATCGGAAAAAGATGAGAAGATAAGCCCACAGTTGACCATAAGTGAGTCCCAAATCCGAGAGTTTAATGAATGTTAAAAGATAGAAGCCCCAACCCATAGTTGCCTGGGCCAAAGGGAGGCCCCATGCTTCAGACAGTAGGGATGCAGGGTCATCTGTGCCCACCTCGGCCCCAAGGAGACATGCTACATTTGTCCTTTGCCTTGGATAAAGTGTGAAGGGAATATCTGGGGCTGGGAATGGACATCTGCCTTTGAATGGAGGCCGTGTAAGGTGTGGTGTTTTGCCTCTTGCCAAGGCAACCTTTTTCCATGAAAAATACCCTGTAGGATTTAGCCAGCCTGTAGGAATGCACTTGCTCAGTAACAGATCTGGGAGCCCACTAAGGAATCAAGAACCGAATTGAGCTCCACGGTTCTCCACCTTGCCTCGGGGAACTTAGAACCTAGCTGTTTGAATGGGAAATGGAAGGGGCTTTCTGATTGAAGGCATAAGGAAATCTAGTTGGGAAATATCTTCCAAGCTGAGGTTGAGAGACCTGGTGTTCGTTACCATAGCAAGGCCTGTGGGAGGTCACGTTGTTAGGATCTGCTGGATTGCTTCTGAGGTCGTCTTTGAATGTCTGCATATCCATGTAGGGAGGCCTAAAGTGACCCCTGTCAAATTTCCTTCTAGAGTGCGACATGGAGCTGCCAGGAGGAATCCTGGCTACAAGAGATGCTTACAAAATGAGTGATACAGAGGCCGACAGGGTCCCAGAATATTCCAGCAAGTATATTTAAAAGGAAAATAGAAGGCCAGGCGGCCTCCTGGGCAAAGCAGGGGGAGCTCTGAGAGCTTTGGCTACAGCTAGCCACGAGGAACGGGAGGCGACACAAGTAAGCATCAAAGACTCGAAGTACCAGTTAGCTGGATCTCCAGAGGACTCTGCCCTGTGATACAGAATGTGGGTGATTCAGGGGTGCTGATAATTCTTCGCACTCCAGTTCCCAGACTGAGACCTAAAAGGTTAGGGAGGTCAAGAAGTCCCAAGTCTGCAGAAGAAAGGCAGCTGTGGTTGGAGAACTAGCCACCATGACCGTCTTTGCTGCTTATACCTACAAGAGTTGTTGGTAGGAGCCCTTGGCGTAGGCTGGGAGAAAATATGATGATTCTTATGGAACAGGTAACAGAATAGTGAGGTGGGAATTGTTGGGGAGTGGAACTCGAGATGGCAGCTCACGGTTTCAGATAGGGGAGCTAGAGCCCGGGCTTTGAACCATCTTTATAGCGTGGCTAAGATCCCCAGACCTCCTCATCCCAGCAGATCAAAACAAAAGACTTGTCTCTTCCTAAAGACTTGCCCATTTCATTGGATGGTACCCCCTGTCCATTTGTGCGAAACCCCAAATGTAGGAGTGATTTCTAAATTTTCCTTCCCTTCTCTCTCGCTGTCCATGATCTATCCGGATGTATCCCAGATCCATCCCTAATTGTCCTTCTGCTACGGCCTCGTGAGACTCCCATCAGTTCTCACCGAGACCACAGCTCGGCCTCCCTGTGGGGCGCCCTGCGTCCCTTCCTGCCCCTGTGCATCTCATCTCTGCACCACTCCGTGGGGCAGCTCCTCCAAGGCCAAGGGCTACACCCCGAGGGCAGGGTTGGCCTTGGCTTACAAAGGCCCTTGCCCATCGTTCTCTCTGGTCTTACCTTGTTCCGCTTTTGCTGGCCGTGCTTCATATCCACAAGTCTGCCTGTGCTAAGTCCTGACTTAGGCCCCATACACTAGGCGATTCCCCTACCTGGAACGCTCCTCTGCCTCCTCCTTGACCCCCTTGCCCCAGCCACTGGCTCCTTCTTGTCTGTCATTCAGACTTCAACTCAGGCACCCACATCCCCTTCCCCTCTCAGAATGAACTAGCCACTTGGTCCCTCGCTGTCACATTACCTGGTTTTGTTGGATGGATCACCTGTGTCCATCCCCGAGAACGTAAGCTTCGTGAGAGCAGGGCCCTGGCACCGCCCCCCCCAGCCACCCCAACAGTGCTGATCCAGAGGGAGAACACATTACCTATCTGTGGGTGAGGGCCTGGACACAGACGTGCGCGGTGGCCTGTGGCAGCGATAGGCCGGCTCTTGCTGGGACTTTGTCCTCCCACTGCTTTCCTGGGGTCTGATGCCTGGTCTCCGCTTCCCTTGCAGCCGCCCCTGCCAGCTCCCTTTCCCGTCGACCATGCAGCAGCACAGCCCCATGTCCTCCCAGAACCCCCCGGTCAGCGGGCCGCTGCACTCCGTGTCCTTGCCACTTCCACTGCCCGTGACCCTGGCGGCTCCGCAGCCCCCGCCGGCCGCCTCGCCCAGCCAGCAGCTTGGGCCTGATGCCTTCGCCATCGTGGAGCGAGCCCAGCAGATGGTGGAGATCCTAACCGAGGAGAACCGGGTGCTTCACCAGGAACTTCAGGGTTACTATGACAATGCCGACAAGCTCCACAAGGTATGTGACTTCCCGAGGGAAGGAGAGGGAGAAGAAGGTTCTCTGGGAGGGTCAGAATTTTTTACCCGCTCATCAAGGGGGGGATGCCCTGACCCACGGGCCCTCAGTGACCCCTTTTTATGCCAGGTGCCGTGCAAAGCTTTAGGGAGACAAATAAATAGGAGAAGCTTACAGTCCAAAAGAGGGAGCGTCCCCTGAGCTCATCCTTGCAGTGGAATGTCAGGCGGGTTGCAGGAGGTACAGGTACGGGGGGAGGGGGATGGCCTCAGAGTTCAGTAGTATCCCCCCGGGTGGACGGTGTGGAAGAGGGAACACCCAGAGGAACACAGAGGAATGGGTTGAGAGAGACAGGTCTGTCTTTACATCCAGGGTTCTCAGACAGGAGCCAGGTGATCGCCATGTGGGTTTCATTAGCTGGTCTCTGCAGAAAGCAGCATGGCCTCAAGACCGCAGGTAGAGTCCGAGCGACTGCCTGCCGTCCATCCTTCTGTTTGGCGTTTGTCAGGTGGGGAGATGCCGCTCGATTCCAGCCTATGTTGTCATCACGGGAATATCCGAGTGTGCGGCAGCCTTCATGCTTAGGGCTTTATGCCGAGAGCCACAGTCAGTGGGAGAACTTCCAGCAAGATGAACTGTCGTAGGCAGTGATTTCACGATGCCCCACGTGTCAGCACCTGAAATGCTTCCGGTCGCACAGAAGAGGTGAGGGGGGCAGAGGCACTAGGCTGTTTGAGAGCAGGAGAGCCATAGGGCCCTAGAGTTTCCTTTCTGGAGACCTGGAGGCCTGCGTGGTGGGAGTGATCTTATAAGAGCCTAAGTACCTGGCTCTGTCCTGGACACTCGGGGGCTTTTATAAAGAGAAAAGGTAGGAATATAAACCCCGCCTGACTACAGGAGCATTGCCATTTGGTCCCAGGTGACAGTTAATGCTCCTGGCTGGCTGGCCCGCATAGCGTTCCTCTCTCAGGTGAGGCGTGGTCTTTTTGCTGGTCGGTGTTTCAGAGTAGTGAGTGTCTCTGATTTCCTGGAAGTACACAGCTGGGAGCAGTGGGTTTGATGGTGCAAATGTTCACAGGCAGAATCTGCCCCAGCACGTTCGTGCAGAGCTTCCACCGAAAGGGTCTGGAGCTCCCTGGAGTCAAGACCAGACTTGGCTCAGAGAGCTCTGGATGCCTTTCCTGGAAGGGAAAAAATGAGAGCCAGAGAGAAATGGGCTGCCTGAAGTTTGCAGCCTCACTCCCACCCTGGTCGGACCCCCGAAGCTGGGAAACAAGCTCGCTGTCTCGTGGCCTTGGCTGTAAGTCACTGCTCAGGCCCAAGCTTGCCTCTGACACCTCTGGGGGCAGCTTCCTTCTAGAAGCAGTCTGCACATTGGGAAGGAGCTCCCCAGCCCCTCCTGGGAAAGAAGTCGTTCTTTCTTCTCCCTAATGAAGCCCTGTGGCAGACAGGTTCAGGAGTTATGCAGACCCACCTGAGGGCAGTTTGGTTCTGGGTCTTTCCACATGGATGTCTTTGAATGGTAACGTGGAAGGCACAGAAATTGGGAGGTCTTGTTATTCTTCATTGACTTGTTTTATTAACATACACTTTTTACTGACCTGTCACAAGCATCTCATTCTTGATTTCGGTGCACGTTTCTGTTTTGAAAAACCAAATCAGTCTCCCAGTGACTCAGCTTCCTGGCACAGGGGATGATTCTTAAATTTAGTGGCCAAAAGGATTTTGATGATTGAAAAAGGAAAAATCAAAAGCTGTTACCCTTCTGGAACTCAAAACTCCTTTAGTCCCTTGAATATTATAAATGGTTCTATGGTTATTCCATGTCATTAATCAGTCATATGTCCAACTGGAATTGTCAGTTCGAACACGCAGATTTTGATGGAGACTGCTGTGTTCATCACTAGTCCCCTAGCTGTGGTCAGCAACTAGGAGCGAGAGACACAACGGCTGCCTGAAGGCTGTGACTTAACATTTCGAGGCTTGTGTCCCCGAGGTGGGCCTTGTCCCAAGTCCTCCCTGCTCATGGGCAGCCCTGCTTGGCCGTCTGTCAGCAGGTCTGGGGAGAGGACTGTCGGATGAGGTGACAACTTCACTTCTCAGCAAGGATGACCCTGCTTTGGGTGGAGACACATACAGCGCCGAAAGATGGGGCCACCATGTGCCAGCAATAACATCCAATCCAGGATCCTCGCAGTGTTGGGAGCCCTCGCAGGATTCATTGTAAGGGCAACACCAGAAATAGATGAATTTTTAATGACAGGCCTTAGCCTATGCATCCTGTGCCAGGAACACAGCGGGAAAGAATGACTAAACGTGGAGCCTGCCCGAGCGCAGCCTGGTTAGGAAGACCCTGTTTCCAGAGAGGCACAAGGTGGTGATTATCACTGCTAGTGTTGGGATGATGGCTGAGGACCCCCAGAAAGAGTAGTTGTTTGTAGTTTTTCCTTTTGGCCACTTGTTTTGCTTCTCTTTCCTCCTGGTTTCCCTGAAAGCTAATTAATGGACAGAGTTTGCAGCGGGACCAGACTGTGGGCTGTTGCAAGGGTTGGCCTCAGAAGCTGTCAGAGCCTAGGTGGGCATTTGAAGGGAAACAGCTAGGTATTTACGATTCCCCCAGGCTTGCCTGAGTGAAGACCCTGGTCTTTTGTCAGCGTAACAGTGGTGGCTCTGACTGGGCCCTCTGTGGCTGGGACAGCAGGCCAGTCTTGGTCCTGTGGGTCTCTGGGCCGTGCTCGTGAAGGGGCTCAGGGAAGACACCAGTATCTAGAGCTTGGAGTGGCTGAGGTTTTCTCTTTCTCTGCTCCTAGTTCTGTTTCCGGGACAAGGAGTGCTTGTCTGTTGGGATCACAGGGGCTGTGCAGCTTGGCCTGACATAGGCTGGAAGGGAAGGTGGGAGCTGTGGAGGCAGACCCAGTGCTGTCTTCATAGGATCCTACTGGGACTCTGAACTGGCCGGGGTGTTTTCATCTCAAAGCCAGCCTGGCCAGCCTGCCCCTCATCTTTAACAAACATCAGGGGGATTGGTGTTCTGGACATGGGGGATAAGTGGTTCTCATTCTGAAGGAGTGTGCAATCAAATCATAGAGCGTTAGACTGAAAATTCTGAAAATGAGTCTAGGCCAAGTTCTCATGACCCTGAAAGGAGATCATTCATTTTTTACTTGAATGCTTCCAGAGGAGAGAAGCTCCCTCCTACTGGGCCTACTTCTGGAAAACATAGCTCGGAAATTCTCTCTTCTTTTGAATCAAAATCTGCATCGCTTGGACTTGCTCCATTTAGTCATAGCTCTGTCCTCCCTAACACACTGAAGGGGACGAAGGTCTCCATCCTGACGACAGGAAACTGCCATTTCCCACAGGAAGTACCTTGTCCTGAACGGAGACCCTTGCCCTTTCTCACTGGGTAGCTACCAGCACGTAACCATATCCCGGTTCCCGATTGTTTTAGGATTTAAGATAGTAAACCATGCTGCCCCAGGGATCCTGCAGTTTCCTTTTATAAAGTGTGCAGAGGGAAGTTCTTCCAGCGAAGGAAAGAAGCCATGATCAGGTGCAGTTGATCAGTGCCTGAGTCTGTCTTTAGGAGTTACACGGTTAAAGATTCATTCATCAGCCTGTATTTGTGTCGGGGGCGGGGCGCAGTTTTAGGGCTATAAGGGCTGTTCCTGCGTTCACGGAGTTGACAGATCGGATCAGAGATGTAAAATACGTACGCAGGACAGAATTCCAGCCAGATGAAAGTACTGTGAAATCAGCTTGAGGAAAGTTCCCGTGTTTGGTGTCCTTGAGGAAGGCTCCCGGGTCGTCCTGGGCTTGAGGCAGGAGCACCAGTCTCCTGGGGGCTGTCTCAGCACCTCTGCTGGGCTTCCCTAGCACCAGGTGACGCCCCCTGGCCTGGAAGGGGCCTGTCCCCGAGGCATGCCCATCTGTCCGAAAACAAAGGCCACCTTTTATTGATGAAATTAGCATAGAAACCGTGATATGTTCTGGAGCCCTCTCTTTTGAAAACAAAATTATAAGGAAGGAATATGATTTGCAGGAGGGCTATGAACAGGAGTCAGGATGTGCTGTTCTCTCTGCTGCCACAGTACCAACAATTCATATCTTTGAAAGAAACAGGTCTGTCGAAATGAGGGGACCAGGAAAGGATCAGCTCTGGTATTAGGAGGCCTTTGGGAAAATAACCTGGTACCGAGGGGAGCCTTGATGTTCAGCTCCACTCTGGTGGGCTGCCACTTTGCAGAAGCCCCCACACTGTCCAGCCTCTTCACTGGCCTCTTTCTAGGTGTGTCTTCCCAGCTCCGTTGTAACCCCTGGGGCGTTGACCACATTCTCTCTCCTTAAGTTTGTGGCACCCCCGGCTTCCTGTCTTACTCACTGACTCCTCTGTTGTACCTGTGGAGTCTTGACCCCCCGCCGCCCCACTCCGAAAGTCCTTCCCTCGGGCCTAGCTCCCGCCCTCACGTCTTGCTCTCATCCCTGGACCACCTGTCATGTCAGAGACACGCACTTGATTTCGTGGCCCGGTGCCGTGGCTCCCGCCCCGTCTTCCAACTAGAACGCAAAGCCCCTTGATCTTTTCTGCTTGGCAAAGTCCTGTTCATCCTTTGAGACTTATTTTAAGTAGCATTTTCTCTGAAATCTTTTTTAAAGAAGCCTGTTCTTACCCCTGCAAAGTGACTTTGTCTCTTGGCTGTGAGAGCATATCCAGAACCACCACACCCCTTATCACATGCATTGGAAAAGCACATGTGTCTGGGGGGAGGCCAACGCTAGACTGTGAGCGCCCCAAGACCAGAAATTATCTTACTTCTTTCTGTATCCTTGGCACCCAGACACATAGAAAATGTACGATAGATATCTGCTCTCTCAGGACATGTATTACTTATAGTTTCAGCAGGGGCTTTCTGATCTGAGCGGTTGGGGTACAGGTAGTGGGTGCCTGGCTCCTGGTGACATAGCTCTCCTGCGGACGGCCTGAAAACACGGTGCAGGCCTCTTGGTGCCCAGTGAGGGGCGCTAGTGCTCCAGCCCTCCCCACTTGGCCTCCAATCCCAACTCAGAGCAGCCATTCATCGAAGTTCCATCCCCCTTTGTCCTGCATTTATGCTATGCAGCAGTAAAATGGGAGTTGTTGAGATCTACATCAAACAACGTACTATTATAGGAGACTCCTGCTAGAACAGTTACAGCTACTTGTTACCGATTTAAATATGCCAGAGATTAAAGGCACAGCCCTTGACTTAGTGAAAAACGAAGGAAGGCCGATCTTCACCCCATATCTTTCAATTTCTTCATATAAAGAGGTTTCCTGTGGTGCATTTGTCTATAATTAGATACAAGTCTTTTGTCCTTATGTAGACAAGTTCATAGACAAAGGGGTAAAAATGCTGCGTAATGATGCCTCTCCTCGTGTGGGTTTTACGTTCCTTGGGGGATGGGTAGGAGGGTCTCTGGAAGAGAACTGCACTTGGGTTCTAGCTGCGATCCTTGAGTTTTTCTGTACAGTATATCTTTTTCCCTTTTCTAAAGTGAGAAGAATAATAATAGTTATAAATTGCCATACAAAATATAAGAGGTTGAAGTTATGTTTAAATTCACCCCTTCCTGGTAATTGTGCAGAGAGGTTTCCGCAAGGTGGCATCGGGCGGTGCAGGCAGACTTGAGAGGCTGCTGTTTACAGGATCCTAGTGTGGCCCTTGGAGGGAAGAGGGTGCGTGGGATCGATGGCAGCATCTGTAGACGGTGCAGCCGGAGATGCAGAAGGAAGACACCGCCTTCACACGTGTCAGAGAATTCAGTCTAACGGAGGCACCAGTGGGCATGGCAGGAATCCCACTTTCATGCCGCTTCTTTCTTGCAGTTTGAAAAAGAACTTCAGAGAATTTCAGAAGCCTATGAGAGCCTGGTCAAGTCCACGACCAAGCGGGAATCACTGGACAAGGCAATGAGAAACAAACTGGAAGGCGAGATCCGAAGGCTTCACGATTTCAACAGAGACCTCCGAGGCACGTCCAGCCCCATCTGCATGCTCCCTGCCCTAGACTCCCATGGAGCTGGCGGCCTGCCTTCCGGGCCACACTGTGTCCAGTAATCTCGGGAAGTCCAACCACCTGGGGCAGGGGTGCTCAAAGAGCAGGATTGTTCTTTTCTCCTGTGTAGGTTGTGGGTGGCTGCCCTGGGCCCGAGAAGTGGCAGCCTTTATGCACGAGTCCATGAAAGGGAGGGAGTGTGTGTGCAGCTCCTTCCCTCCTTTATTTTAATTTTAATTTTATTTTATTTTAAGATTTTATGTATTTGACAGAGAGAGACACAGTGAGAGAGGGAACACAAGCAGGGGAAGTGGGAGAAGAAGCAGGCCTCCCGCCGAGCGGGGAGCCCG